TGGAGCTTGGACTGTGTGTTTGAAAGTGCTCTTGTTCATGAATTAGTGAAGTCTCAAGAGAATAGTTAATATTTCTAGTTTTGTTCTTTCTCTTCCTTCATCGTGCTCTTGAATTTCAGATTTCTTACACAGTCTGACACCTGATTTTATAATTAAAAAAAATAAAATTATAAGAGCAGCAAGCATAACTGCTTAAGATACAGTGGCTAATAACCTCATCTCGTAATTAATTCCTGAATATTTACAGTTAACCTAGGTGGAACATATAATGCCTCTATAAAAATGTTTTCAAGAATAGTAAATATTTATTTAAAGCCGCTGTATTTAACAGCTAAAGGTGAACTTTGTTCTGAAAATCCAAAACACTTTATGTTAGATGGTTGCTGTGACAACAAATGTGTTACAGAGCATGGACAAAATTACAAAATACTTGTTTGGATGTTTTGCTTCACTGTCTTTAATATGACTTGTAATGTAAAGCATTTAAAATAACTTCTTATCCTATTTTTGGTATCCTGCAGAGTTCTGTCCTGTCTCCCCTGGGTGGTTTTCTCTTTTTTAAGGACTTTGTTTACAGTGGGCTTTTCTCTTCAGCCCTGTAGTACAGTATGTGCTTTTCTCTGTTTTTATCTTCTGTCTCTGTTTTCTGCCTTCACTTAACAGTTCTGTTCAGTTCTTGTAAAACATTGCCTTTTTGAACACTTGTATTGAATTCCTGTTTCTTTATTTCTCTTTGTCTCTATCGGGGGTGTTGTCAAATGCTGAAAATAGCATTGAAAAAGACCCTGAAGGTCTCTCTCTTTTCTTCTGTCAGCCTTGAACTGTGTTTGACTTTGGCAGTTATCCTTTAGCTGCCCTTCAGATGGCTTATCTACCCGGCCTGTTTAGGATTTGTTTTTAAAAGCTACTTCCGTTTTTCATTCTTCAAGAACCTGAAATGATGCTTTGTTGGTTTCTGTGCTACTCTCAAATGCTTCACTTCTCTTGAGTTTTTTGGCCAAATTCTTCTGTTATTCTCTCCTTTTACTCATGCTTATCTTCTGCTGTGGACATTTTCATCATCATTGGAAGCAAAACCTAAGTCAGTAAATCAGTAACAAAACCAATTAGTTATTTTCCTTTAACTGCTTATTTCCTAAGGGTAGAACAAATGAATGAGGTCTGAGCTCATGAATTGTGGAAACAGGTAAAAATACTGTTCCTAATATTCACCACCAGTTCGTGACTACCTCAAAGCAATTGCTTTTCAAGCAAAATATCATAACTTGGCATTGGTAGTTTGAGCTCAGGCTCTTATCAATTCTGTGAACACTCTCTGAAATTATTTGAGGGCTGTTTATCTGGAACTGCTTTGTATTTTTGCACTAGCCCAAATTCCTGACTTCTTCCTTTTTTTTTCTTGTGTTGTAAACTTTCACTGGTCCATATTTTTATGTTTAATAGGGAGAAAATGTAAACATATATCTCTCTCTTCTAACTTGGGCACTTTATGCTTTATTTTTGGCCACGTTATAACCTCACAATACTTAGCTTGAGAAATAGGAAAGCTGAGAGTAAGGCCTCTGGCCTAGGCTGTTAAGCTAAATGGAACTCAAATTGGTGGACTGAAAAACACAGCTCTTCAGTGGAAGAAAAAGCTTTATGATGCATGTTGCATGAGGAATTTTTAGAAACTGAACTTTATGAGAAGAATATTTTGCTATTCCAGTTTATTATGGTTGACATTGTTTTACACTGAATTTAAAGTTGTTCAGCTTCAGCAAAAGCACCTGCTCTACACTACTCCAGTCTTCAAAACATTGGTCTTAACTTATTATTGATATGTCTCTTGAGGAAGAGGTGCTGAACTCCACACATCCAACAAATTGGGCTAAAACCCTGAGCAGTTGGGTGCTTGTTGAACCTGTGGTAAGACACAGCACCTGAGGACAATCACTGCAGAAAGAATTTACAGAACATGGAAGTAAACTTGCTGGATGTGGTGTAATTACACACATGCAGTGTGCCTTATTCTCACCTCTTTTAGTCTTTTTCCATCTCTTTATGCAATATGAGGGTTTCCTGCTGTTGGGGTTCTCGGGTTACTCATTTCTTATACCAATACTCACAGTTCTGTGTTTCACCTAAATCTTTCCCTGTTCTATTACAGGAAGTGGAAGAACTTTGTGGAGAGAGAGGTTGAGGGACAGCATTGAAGTTTGATTTGGTCTTTTCCAGTCCCAAACTTAATCTCTGACTAGGTTGTACCATCTTGAAAATGTGATGCTAAATCAGCCTTGTGAAAAGCACACCCCTTTCAATATGCATCATTCTTTTCAACTACAGAAATAAAATGGAATTCTCCTTTTTTGTGTAACTTGTAATAATTGCTGAAACGTATTATTCTGTAGGATTGGAGTTGATGTTATTTCCCATTCTGTTTGAGCTCATTGATCAAAATCACTTGATGATGCCAATTGCTGTTAAGCACATATTATTAACTGTGTTAGTGCCAAGCAGTTCACTGCAGTTCCTTATGCAGTAGAAAGAATAACAGTGGAAGTCTTTAAATATAGGGGGGTTTATGTACTAATGTGCTGATGAAACCTCCTCTTTATCTTATGGCTATTTCAAGATGACATCCACTTGGATATTATGTTTCCCAAGTCACCAGCCCTGGGAAATGCTCCAAGTGCTTTCACACATGGTCCAGTGATTACAAAGACTTGGTATTCGCAGTTGTGTTTTCCAGCATGGAGTTTCCTTTCCCGGAGTTTCCTCGGTGTGGTGAGGAATGTATAAGTACAGAAGCATAATGAAATGTGCTGTTGACAGAAAAGTATGCTTGGAATCTCAAGTGCTGTCCTTCTCTGACACCATTAGAGTTCCAAAGTTCTGATACAAAGATAATGAAGTGACTTATCCAGGTTTATTGGTTAACACTCTGACATACTATGTTTTTATATTTTGCGCTTTTAAATGCGATGGCAAACGTTTTCTACTTTATGTGTTTGTGGCCACGATTTCCACTTTATTTGTCATACTCATTAAGGTTCCTGCAGTAGAGGAAAATGATGCTTGTTCATACTAATTTTGAAGATCAAAGCATGGCATAGAAACAATTTATCAACTAACAAACCGAAGCTGCCTCTCAAACACACAGAATTGTTTAAAAAATATGGGTTAGTTAAAAATCTGTTAGTTCCGGGAAAAACATAAATAAATGGAAAAAAAAAAAGAAGTAAATTTCTACAGGCAGTTTGTTCTCTCAAATATTAAATCCATGTTTCTTTTAAATGGATTCTATTTCTTTGTGAATCTTGTCCATAGTTGGATTTATTATTATTCACAATTCCTTGATATGTAGGTTTTCCTGTTTTTTCCGGTAGATACACAGAATACTATGTGTAAACAAAACAATTCCAGTAGGACTTTGAAATATAACAAAAACAGGTGGTTCTGTCTCAAGTCTTCCATCTTTCCTTTATATTGCTCATGTTTTCCAGAGTGCATATCAACTATTTTAATCTCACACTCCCCTTCCTAAGTCGATAAATTACTTGCCCTGCAGAAATGCAAAATGTTTAGTGTTCTATATCACAGAACCCCCCAAAATCTTAAAATATACTTAGCTCTTGTCACCATTTCTAATAAAATACAGTAGTCCTTTGTGAGCGCTGTAGGAAAGCTGCTGAAGAAAAACTGGAATAGCAGTTCAGGCAACTGCCTGTTAATGTTGTTCCTTTACATTTTCCATACATCTGTGACAAAGTAAATCTAATAAATGATAGCCAGCAAAGGAATAACTTTCCAAGGGAGTATTGTTTTGTAGTGTGCTCATAGTCTGTATTCTGTTAAGTATTTAATGATCATGTTTTGATAAATAATTATAAAGCACTTGTTTGACTTGATATTTGGTAAATTTTTCGATATTGGTCCCCTGAATCACCTTCAGGGGTAGCAGATAAACCTAAGAAAAATCTGCATTTCTGCTGTTAGAAAAAAGGCAGATGTAAAGTGCCCAAGTTGATCTTGGGCTTTAAAGCCATGGCTTTACTTGTGAGATCAAGAGTTGGAGCTCTATATCCATTAGCAGTTTCCTCAGACCTACTCTGTGTTATAATCACTTGGTATTAGTAAGTTTAGTTTTCTTTGAATAATGAAGTAACACAGTGTCTGGGTTCTCTGGTCAAGTGCTGCTGTGGCTTTTCAGCTGTGTGGTGCTGCTAGTGTCTGACTGTGCCATGAGCTGAGGTAATACGACCTTGATCTTGAGTTTTTCCTGCTCTTGGTCTTCTTAAAGAAAGAGGGGTTAGTCTGTCTTTTTAACATGGACTAGACTTGCCCACACTACAGTCCTTATTCTTTAATATACCTGACTGACTATATTGAATATGTATAATTCCATTTAGTACTAACTCTATATTGCATTTTTTTTGTGCTGTTAGCACACCCGTGCAACATGATTGTTAGCCCTTATAGGAACAGCTTTTTATGAGCCACAGTGTTAAAGACAAAAGGAAGCAGAGCTTAATGCTGATAATAGCATATTTGAAGTTTTATTGGCCCAAAAGTCAAGATAACATAGCTCCCCCCCACTTGCTTTCAATGATGTCATGATAGTATGAGAGCTGAAATAAGGAGATTCAACATCATCTTTTCACAAAGCTGTTTTTTAATTCTAAGTGAGCAAAGTAATTTAGTTTTAACATGCTTCCAACTGGGGAGAAGGCAGGATATTAATGAATAGAAAAATACCTGGAGTATTCCATTGGTGTCAGGCAGAAAAAAGTTTTAATCTATCTTTGTTTTGTCTCTCACTGTTATTGTGTCATATCACTGGAGGTGTGATGACTGTTGTTCCTATAGATGATCTCAAGTAAGATGTCTCTAAAGAGGAGGTTGCCGGTGACATCATGTATACAATACAAATGTAACAAAACGCTGAAACAATCTTTTTGTGACAGCAGGGTAAATGAAATATCATAGCATGGTTGTATCTCACTTTTTCTTTCTTGCAGGATATCTTGAATAATCTTGATTCATGTGATCTTGAAGATGATGATCTTATGCTTGATGTGGACCTGCCTGAGGACCCACCTCGTGACAAAGGTTGGTAGATCAGCCAAGCAATCTTACTGTGATTGTGAAGCAGTGAAACTGCTTTGTGGGCTTAAGAGGTTTTTGAGTTGCTTTGCTCTGACTCTAGATTTAATAAAGTCAGTGCACTCTTCACATTGTGTTGTTTGGTTTTTTTAAGTAACAACTGTTTCTTATCTGAAATATAGGAAGGATGATATTTCTGTTTCCCCAAATACAACTCATATTTGAAGAATTCTAAAGTTAGAAATTTACTGCCTTTTTAATAAAAGTGCAACCTTGTTTCATACTGTTTTTTTCTTAAAATTATTCCAGTAGAATCAGTTTCAAAGTTTTAAGTTAGTCTTTCAGTCTCATGCTTCAGATATATTTGAAAATGTTGGGATGACTTTTTTTTTTTTAGCTTTGGTGAATGACGGTGTCATTCTTTGAGATAAGTCTTTGTTTTCTTCTACAAAATGACAATATCTCCTATATATTGTATACAATATCAGGGTAACAGAAACTTTAAGGTGTGATTTTTTCAAGTTGTCTTTTATGCACTCTTACTTTCAGTGAGGGTGCTGGCAAACTTCACCGAGAGGATAGTGGTACCTAGATGCTATTGAAGAAATACAAACCCAGAACAGAATGAAATTGGTAAAGGAAGTTATGGCTACACTTTCTCAAATCCTAGACTGGAAAACTTTGAGGCATTTGCTTTTAGTTATTCCTGACCTACTCATAGGAATTGTTGTTGTCATGTGAATATGGGTATTAGCTTTACCTCCAAGTTCAGTGGAGGTCAATATATTTTCAAATGAACAGAAACACTGAACCTGGAGCACTGTTGTGCCCTACTCTGTGCAAACAGGCACTGAGAAAGAAGGCTTTCCTTATTATGTGTAATGTTCAGCTGCCTGCTGAAGTTGCAGGAAATTTGGCTTGTTTTGAGAGCACCTCTGAGTTCTTTGAGTGAAGACTCCTGCATGTATGTTAGATATGAAGCCAAAGTAACAGTAAATACACACATAGTTTTCCATCTACCACAATGGTGGCACATTATGTTTTAACAGTGTGCACATATGAAATGCAGTATTTAATCTTGTAAATCTCAGAATGAATCTTCCAAAGTACTTGTGTGAAAGACAGTGATTGACAACATTGCCAGTATGAAACTTTTCAGCCCTGACAGGTGTGAAATTTTTATTCTTTACATAACTAATTTTCCAGAATGGATAACAATCCCAACCTAGGGCATATTCTTTCAATAAGGGTAATTCTAGTTCTGTTGGGAAAAACTAAGAAACGATTTTAAAGGGTAGATCAATTTCTCATAAGCTTCCTGGTTTATAAAACATGCACTGCACTTGCATCAGTAATTCCATTACAAATTATTTAAAAACTGCTAGGAAGGCATGTGTTTTAAAGGTGAATGTTTGCCCCAAAAACACTAAAAGGTAATTACTGTTAATTTTGGCATTTTTTTAGAGGTTGGGTTTCCTTATAAAATTAATATGGCATAAACTGGGTATCTCTGCTTCTTCTCTTGAAATCACTGTATTTTTAGCAAAGAGGGTCTGAAAAGAAGAATTCCAAAGCCACCTCCAGGCTTTCCCTTATGTGAACCTGACCACCTGAAAAAGCAAAACTTATTCTTGGTTAATATTCACGTATCTTTACTCAGTGTCTCAATTTAATTTTCCAGAGGTTACTTATAAACTTAAGAAGGGCTTATTTTGCTGTTAATTTTTATGTGTTGTGACCTGTAGAAGGATGTTGCTAAAGGAAAATAAACCTTCTGTTACTTAAGACGAATAAGTTTATTTTCTTACGTAATTTTTTGGTTATTGAGCTATGTGATAAAAACTATGTAGCTCTGAGTATTTGTTATAATGATGTGTAAAACCCTTTTTGCCAACACTCTTTCCACAATTCTGTGCGGCCTCACTGACGTCAGCCTGTTAAGACTTTCCAGGTCCTCAGAAACTCTCCCAGTTTCACTTTGGAGTCTGGGATGCCGCTTGGCCACTATTTATAGAAACAGTTCTAGCTCAACAAGTATGCAGGGAGCGAGGACGGCAGTGTTAAATCACAGGGTAAGGCTGGGCTCCCTTCCCAACCACACGCAGACTGGGAGCTGAGCAGGAAGGAAGGCCTGTTTGTGAGCGTCTGGTGCGCAACTTGTCTGAGGAGGCAGCCGAGTAAACAATGTTCTCTTGTGTGGAGTTTCTCCCAGCAAAGGACTGCCAATGTGAGGAAAAACTCCTTGGGTAAGTGAAGGAGAAAGTGTGGTGGCAAAATAGCAATTCCTGACTGTTTTTGCCCTGTCTGACTGCCCGGTAGCCGTTGTTTTGACTTTCTCTCTAGTCGTTTGCAGGCTGTTGCCAAATTTAGCATTTGTTTCCTTAAGAAGTTTGTGGAATCTGTGTGGCTTTGCAGAAGATAGTGTTTTGAAGAGATTATTTGGTTTCCTTGTTTTAAATCATGCTGGTTATCCAGGTAAATAAAGATTGAGTGACTCTGAAACTGAAAAACAAACAAGATGAATAGGGTGAGCTATATCTGTATTCTAAGTAATGAAACTGGTCTCTTTTGGAGTGCAGTACTATTCTCTTTTTACAGTGCTGTCTTGCTGTGTTTGTGGGTTGTTAGAACTATTTAAAGGCTTGATGATACGGTCTTCAAGAAAGACAGGAAACAGTTACTTCTGGATTTCTTTTCTTCCCAATAGCTCTACCTCCTAATGATTTTCTACTTGAACTGGAAAAACTATTAAGGCTGGATTCTGTAGTTTCTGCTACAGGTTACTCTTATTCTTGTAACAAATTTATATGTTGGTAAAAATGTGACATCATTATATAAGTCTACTTGACACTTCTAAAATACACAGTTTTGTGTCAGTTAAACAAACAAACCAACCAGATTTTACACTGCATTTGTTACCAGCACGTAGTAAATATTTTATTTGCAAGGTCCTGGGAACAAATTTTATAATTTTTTTTAACTCTATGCTCTCTGTAGAGGAATGTGAAAATATGAGCCGTTATGATAGACAAGACAGAAATGCTAGACAACATCAGGAAGGATTCTGGAAAAGAGCACCACAACAGCGATGGAATGCACAGGATCACTATCATCTTGGCCATACTGATCATTATATCCATGGTAAAAATGATTTGAACAGGTAAAGGACTTGTCTTTATTCTCCCAAACAATGCAACACTAATGAGAAATTCCTTTTGGCATTAAAGGGTCTCAAGTGACACTGAGTACCAGGACATTTTCTGAATAGTTGTGTGTCTGAGTGGGAGCATCACTGAGGGTTGTAACAATTTCTTTACAAAACTTACGCTTCTGTTTTTATTCCAAATACATGTTACTTGTGTTGATGTGATACTATAAAAGCTTGATTAAAATACCTTATGTGTTCCATGGAAAACCATTACAATGTCTTACTACTTGCACGTTGTAAGTTTGGACAGTTTGTTACTTTTTAATTTGTTGGTAAATTAAATGTAATCCTATAGTCCTTATAGGATTGAATGACAGTTTGTAGAAATCCTGATGACTGAACTGGTTTGAGGGTACTGTAGTTGTTAATCTGTGAGAGGTCTTCACAAGTGGGAAGGAAAGCTCTGCATTTAAGTGAAATGGCATTGACATGTTCTGGTGTATTTATTTTCTGCCACAGTATGTAAGTATAGCCCACATTACATAACACCCTCCTTTTTTTACTAAATGCTTTCTAACTCCAGTTTGTCACCGCTGTTGTTTTTAAGTTTTGAATTCTTTTTCAGGGGATCAAACTACCGGGAATCTCCTGTTGGTCACTTGGAAAGCTACGGAGCCCCCAATTTGTACCAGGCTCCCCGCCAGCTGGTGGGTTTACCGGAGAATACTGTGATGCTGGATGAGATGACCCTGCGGCACATGGTCCAGGACTGCACAGCTGTCAAAACTCAGCTCTTGAAGCTCAAGAGGTTACTGCACCAGGTGAGCTGCTTAAATGGAAGAAAAGCAGTAAAGTACATTGAAGAGTGAGCCTACATGGGTGTTACGACCCGCCTCAGAAAAAGGGGAGGGGAGGTAACCCAGGTTCTTATCAATAATTCCCTTGGGGTGGATTAGAGTGAAACAACACTGAATAATCAGTGTCTGAAAACACATATAGGTAGGATTTATTTTAACAATTTTATTTTAACAGGTATGTTAGCATTTTGGGTGTTGTCATCTATATTATCTATCATAGGAATAACTCCTAGGGGGAAAATGCGTAAGGGAGAGAAAGGGAAGACAGGATAAGGGTAAGGGAGAGTAAGGGACAGAAAAGCTGAGTGTGGAAAGATGTATAGTCACGGCCCATGGAGTCCAACGATGAAACTTGGTAGTTGCAGCTTCCATATCTGTCAGTTGAAGTGGTGGCCTTGATCCGTAGGGGGTGAAGGAGGGAAGCTCCCACACTCAAAGAAGTTATGAGTTACTATATCCGTGGTTAGTATCACAGGCCATGCCACGGGCCTCCAACATCTCCTAGGTCTGTGCTGAGTTTCCCTGAGGGGTCTGGCAAAAGGATTTTTCCTGCCTTTCAAGATTGGCAGAGGGGGAGATGGGCTTTGATGGGCCATCAGACGTATAATGCAAAAGTCCTGCAGAAATCTGCAAAAGTCCCATGGCAATCCTAGAATGCTCAAATAGTTTACCGTTTCAGTCTCCGACAGTGGGCTTATGTTTGTTTTTCTTTTTTGGCCTTCTTAGGCTATTGGCATTTCGTTTATACATTGAATTACAGTGTTCAAGAAAGTGGACCTTTTTATTGCTATTTCATATAGTACTTTTTCTGCTTCTTGAGTGCTATACTGACTGCAAAAAGTATTAAATACTGTTATCTTACTTCCCTGAGGAAATTTCAGATTAAAAACGTATATCAGTGGATGTGAAGACCAGCTTTTATTCACTAAGATCCAAAAAAAGCTGGGAGTTAAGAAAAAATTAAAAAATGTTAAAATTGATCCCATTGATCAAACTTGTATTTAGCGAGTCAATGCCAAGAGCTTTTTCTTAAGGCTTTGTTTTCCTCATTCTTTTCATCCTGTCTGTGTGTTTTGACAAGAAGCTTAGCAAATCCTACTGGGTCATCTCTATTGGAAGTATTGAAATTTAACCTTCCTATTTTATGAATTGTCATAAGCTTTTAAGGAGCTTTTTCATTTCACCTCAAAATTTAGCAAGTTGTGGGAGTAAACTGCTAAATGACTCAGCAGAAGTATGACATTTCAGCTACAAAAATTCCTTTGTTACCATAAAAATAATGAACAGTCCATGAGACTTTCTTTGGAGGCATATACAGATTAGCACTGGGAAGTATTTGTATGATGTTCTCTTTTAAGGGTAGATTTATTGCTCTTCTTTTCTAATAGGATAATGTAATGAAAAGCAGTTTGTACCTTAAAAGTAAGACACTGAAACAAAACATAGCAAAACAAAAAGCAAATCAACCTTGAGGCTAATTCAAGGGTGTGACTGTGCCTTTTAGAAATGGGAGCATTTGCATCCTGTGGTAACCGAGATGTATTTCTATGTATTTCTGCTTCTGTCAATGGAAAAACAATTGTAACAAAAATAACATATTGTCAGAGGGGGAAGGTGTGTTCTTAGAACCCAGTGTTGGTGGACTGCATAAACTCTGTCCCCAACAGCCCCAAGCATGCAGTTAATACAGAGATAGCAGGGGACTTGTTATCCAGAGCTTTTAATGCCTTTAACACAAGGACAATTAGGCAACTTGACAGAAGATCTGTGTGTGTGTGTGTGTGTAGTTCACTGTGTAAAAGCATGCGCATTATAGCCAAATAGTGTGTGGCCCTGCAGAATGTGATATTTAAAGTCTTGATCTAGTTTATAATAGCCAGACTTTCCAAAGAGGGTGTAGAACAAAACCTTGCCTTCAAAAGCTCAGATAAAGTTTTTTGAAAGAACTTAAATGCACAAAATGAAACAGTTACTCCTAATAAGTACATTTTTCAAAATTTGCTCCTTCTCATGCCAAAAGCTTGATCTTCTCCCCCTCTGTCCCTGTAGCAGTGAGTTATTAGTAATAACAGGTATCACTCTTCCCTTCAAACTTTGTCACTCATACTTCTATTTTCCTGACCTAACCTAACCCTGTTTTGACTCACTGCTTCCAAAACTCATCACTGGACTTCTGAATGTTTATTCTACTCCCCTGTGTATTATCCAGTCTTTTAATCAAACAATATGAATAGTAATGTAAAGGTAAATTAGCCTTCTGCAGAGTGGAAAACTTGAGACCTTTACTACCTTCATTTACCAAACAATTAGGGCAAAACTTGTATGAAATATCTTTTCATTACATAAAGTGTTACATTCTTACTGTAAACATCAAACTCCATACTAACAGGAATGAGTAAAAATATTGCAACTTTTTTAACTTCTTGTAAAGAACAGAAATAGATTTTTGAAAACGGTTAGTTGAACTTCAGCATTCTGAACTCTGAACTAGGACTTGTGAGAAAAATCTCTTTTCCCAATTTATAAAATGGCAAAAAAAACCACTTGCAGGACAAGGAAACTTACAGAAAAGCATCCTTTATTTGCAGCGCTGGGTGCAGTCCCAGGCTGCCCGCCTGGAAAAGCACACCCCCCTCGAAAAGCACGCTCCGGCTACCCAATATCTTGAATATTCAGTAGGTAATAGGTATTTTACCTTAAAGGGTAATTTTCAAATCGGCGGGTGGGTGTCACCCTCCGCCTGATTGGTCCCGCCTGATTGGTCCCACCTGATTAGATCATGACGTACCCCCCTGTACTGTACAGGGGGTCCCCCTGTACCGATTGATTGATTGATGACATACCCCCCTGTACCACACAGTGGGGGTTCTTTTTGCCCACAAAGACATGTGGCCGGTGTAAATTTTCCATCTATACATTGTATCCTACCTCGACCACAATATTCCCTCGGTGTGCAGCCCTGACGGGACCTTTCACCTTACAATCTTTGCGAGACACCTAAATATTCCTGAAATTAAATGGGAGGTAAGAAAAAAAATCCCAACACCCCCTGTTTCCCACTTAAATAAATTTACTTATAATAAAACCAGATTATTTTATTTCTCATAGACTTGATCTCAGCCTGGGTCATATGACAGATCTCTTCTTGCAAAATATAAAAAAGCAAGGTACAAAGTCGGCTGTTTTCAAAGTCCAGCTCTAATAAGGAAGCAGAAGTTCTTCTATTAGCTTCACCAGCATTATACATTTAAGTGTATGTCTTGCCTTTCTCCAGTTATGACATTCAGCAATAATATTTAATTTGAATAGGTAGAAATAGAGCTGTAGTCAGGACTTAGGCATGAGGTCTCACAGGAACAGTTATAGTGAAATAGGAAGAGTTAGTAATTAAATTCAGTTTTATACAATTATCTAATCATCTGTAGTGTGACTTGCTGTAGAGCACAGCATGTAATGAATGTGTACCTAGCAGAGTCCTAGGGAGACTTAATGTGCTGTGCTGGATTCATTGCTGTGACTGTAGCTCACATAACTGTATATAAATTACCTTGAGTATTACCAGCAGCATGGGCTTGGTGTTGCATTCCCAGTTCTGCTTGGAAAAATAAATAGTTATTTGAGTAATACAGCCTTTTCTGAACTCCATGTGGCCAGGATAACAATGCCAGCAGTACACGTGCTGTCTGCTCACTCCTCACGTGCTGCCAAATCCCTGTATCTTCAAACAGTGAAATCAGGAATAGGACTCTCTCTCATGCAGAGTTTTTAAAAATTTTCACAGTAGTAAAACCTTCTCTGACTTTGCAGTAATGTTATGCTACTTATATGGAGTGAAAAATGTAGATTCTTCTTGCACTAAATGCACTTGTAATTATTTACAGGTGTATGTTCTCTCTTTAATCCTTATCTGGAGTGCTACCTTTGTGTTGTAAGAAAGAAAATGCTTTGGAAGTCTAATTGTGGTAATAATTGACATGTAAATGTTAATGCCTCTTTAACGTGGACTAAGGTACTTCATCTTCATGCTTAATAGTAAATAAGTTTTCTTCTGAACTTAAAAGCTTCTTCCTCCTCCTCCTCCTCAATTAATTTCATAAACTTGCTGCTCTGGGTTGAGGCTACAGAGCTAATGTGTAAATACAATTTTTAAGTAAGGATGTTCTTTTTCTAATGCCCTGGAGCCTTTGATCTAGGCAAGGATTGACCATCCTCTGTAATAACTTCCTTCAAGACTGGCAGCAATGCCTTGCAACCACCCAGTGTTATCTTAGATCAGCCCTGACTGCTGTTTTAGGGAGGACTGAAATGAAGTGGTTCACAGAACTGTGAGATCCGTGAAGCCCTTTTCAATGTGAGAAGCAAGTTTTATAAAAAATGTTTCTTTTCATCTTACCTTTCATGAATGGAAATGAAATTCTATTTTTCAAGCACAGATCTTCATTGTAACTTACCAGATATGAGCAGCACATTTATATGAAGAGGTGTGAATGAAGAAGTGAACCATGGAGTGCAAAATTGTTAAATGCATCAGTACATTTAGATTAGTGAGTCACTTGTGTACCTTTGAAATACATATTCATTGTGTTCTTTTCTTTTTGCATCTGGTGAGATCTGTAAGAGAGATTTATCTTTGTTTATAAGAAGCCTGATGATAAGGAAGAAACAGACTTATGACATACAAAGACTTCTTTGTGTCATGTATTAAGTTGTATAAATTACCCCTACAATTATTACTATTTTTTCTTAGCCACAGAATAGTCCACCTCAGTGACTTAACTGTGCTTGAAAGAAACAGAACTGAAAGAAATCAACAAACAATAGCAAAATCAAACTGAAAAACTGTAGGTTTCAGCAGTTGGTTAACTGTTGGACTGTCACAAAACCAGAATTTGACAGTGGGCAATGGAAACTACATGGCTGTGGTTTGTAGTGATACCTGAATGGAACTACACTTGAAGGGCCAAGAAGTCAGCAGGTGAATAGCACCCTCTGCTTGATGGACACTTACATCTTCACTGTTCAAATGAGTAATTCATACTGAAGGAAGCTTTGAATTGAGAATTGAAAGCTAGACCTTGATAAAAATGTAATAAACCTCGGTAAACTTCAGAAGCATTTGTTTAGCATTTTTCAACCTCTTAATACACTATAGATGCTGTAATGTTGAAAGAACTCTCAAGAAGAAATTATCAATATAATCTTAGAAGTGTATTTTAAAATCCTGTGTATTAAAAGGCAACATATGCTGTTAGGGAAACACAAGATAATTGCTGAAAGTGCAAATGGGTTGATTTTTGTAACAGAAGAACTTAAAATATGTTAGTGTATTGAGAGCAACTTTTGTCTTTCAGCTTTAAGCTTTGTAACTTCCTCTCAGGCAATATGGGAGGTTTCTTCTGAGAGAGGATACCATTTATCTTGTTTCTTTTATTCTTTTAGAAGTTCTGTAGTTTTTCATTATTTTACATGTGCTTTTAACTAAAGCCTGTAAGTAATATGACCCAAAGAAAGCAAGGGGAAAAGGGAAGCTGGAAAGGACAGGCAGTGAGAACAGCTCTATGCTAGATAGAGGGGCATGTTTATGATGTTCGGATATGTTCATTATGGTGTATTGAGTCACAGAGCTTGATTTTTGGTGTTAATTTTTAATTTTTGAAATAAACAACTTAAAATGAGAACATGTAACTGTTGAGAGGATAGAAGAAAATACAAGCAAATGTGGCTTTTTTTGAGCTGCTGAACTGCTTCTCAGCAGAAAACCTGCAGTGCTCAAAGCCCCACAAATACTTGTATCTGATACTCTTCTTCATAAATAATAATCTAAGGAAAAATCAACCTTTAATGTTCAGTTTACAAAAAAGCAATAAATGAGTTCTCTGGGAATCTGTAAGGTGAAGCAAGCACAGGGGTTTGTGTGTCATTCATACTGAAGATTTCACACTAGTAAAATATTGGCATGAGAGCATGGTAAGTACATCCACTCACAGGTACAGGTTCAATTTGTGACTGTCTTTGGATGAATTGCAGTGTACCTGTGACAGCCATAGTGAACTCATTCCCATGAGTTGTTTCTGTAGGAGTTATTCCCGTGAGCTCATGTTTCTTGGGATGGATTAAAAATGACAGATGAAGACTTGAGACTGTAATCAAGAGCTTCCGTTAGACTGTAACATTTGGGAGCAGGTTTGTAAAAATGTTTGACATGTAGAAAATTATTTGTCCAGAGAAATACAGTGCCTGACAGTGGGGAAGAAATAATTGTTACATAATTTGCCTACATGTACACTTAAATTGTATCTGTAATTGTCACTGAGTTTGTCTTAAAACAATTAGATCAATTGCTTTGTAGAAAACTGAGATGGTATTAATTTTCTCAGCAGATAACTTTTGCAAAGGAGTATGAAGCTGAAGTAATATTCAGCATGAAACCAGGTTACTCTGATAGCCATGACTGAAAAACTTTAGACATTTCTCTGGATTTGTCGTGTAGGCACTATGCTGATAAATACTAAAATGTTGTTGTTGGGGGGGAGGGGAAATTATGTCACTTCATACTTATCTTCAAAAGTTAACATAAAGGTTTTCTCAGAGCAAGCTTTTAGTCTTGGAGTATTCCAAAAGTGAAGAGAATATGTGCGTGGATTTTTCTGCACCACAACCACCTGCTCCCTTTATGCAGGTATTAGTAAATTTAGGATGGTTTTCTAAGGTCTTGCTTGAGTATTTTGTAATGGTTTCTGACCTCAGGTTTGCTGTAATTTTATAAGCCTCTTGAAAACATGTCTTGAAGTGTGTGGTTACCTCAGTTTACATAGGGACCCCCCAAAACTGGCCAAAAGCTGAAGTGTGTTCTGTTGACTTAAGTCCAGCAAAAACTTTCCAGTGCATGTGATGGAGTTGAAAATCACTCTAGAAGGTAGTGGTTCAAATAGGTTTCTGTAATGAGCGACAAGAAAAGGACTATAAAACGATCAGTCACTACCCAATTACTTGACTGTTTCTTAAAGGAGTATGTTATATTCTTGGATTAAACATTGCATGTGAATATATATATATACACACACACGTACATATATGTATATAAATTTATATCAAATTAAAATAATCTCTAACTGAAGACTATCCCTACATAGCTCATTAAGTGTGAAAGTCTGCAACGTTAATCCTCCATCAGTTTACATATTTCAGGCTAGGTACCTCAAGCCAAGTTTCATGGATTAATCCTAGCATGTGTTCAAATGGGAGGCTTGAGTTTCCACTGACAGTGTTAGAGCTGTTTTTTTTCAGTTACCCTGTGTTCTTTACATGTGTATTGAGATAATTAAGGCAGCAGTAAGGGAATTGATGCAAATGAACTTAGTTCCTGCTTTGCCAGTGAATGAGTCAGGTATAGCATAGGGCTGATTTAAATCACCAGAGACTATGTGACATACTAACCTTCTTTGTAATTAGGCCTTAATCTGCTGTTGTGGAATGTTTTATTGCTCCACTTACATGCTTTTTAATGGCAATAAAAAGTATACCAGAGGTACAGAGCTTTTAAAAGCCATGCAAGGTACTTTTGCACGACATGGTTGGTCTTCTTTTGTGGGTTTTTTCCATTCACATGATTACTCCTTCAAAATTGCAGTAATTGTGACCATCTGTGGCTTTACTTCGAGTGTGTGACAGAGCTGCAGCTATTCCTGCAGATCTGTGAGGAGAGGAAGACTGTTCATGGCCCTTATTTGGGCACTGTACATATGCACAAGGAAGGCTTTCCTATCAGGGAAAAAAAGGGCAAATGAGGGGTAAGAGAGGTCAGGCATTGTAACAGGTTTTGCAGAGAGCTGATGTTATCTCCATCCTTGAAAGCGAGTTTGCAATGGAGCTGTTTCAGCAAATAATTCAAGCTTGTGTTCTTGTTTTGTTCTCTGGTAGAATGATGAAAATGTGTCGCTCCAGGACATCAACCTCTCAGTTCCATCGAGTCCAGAACCACAAGAACCTGATTCCACTTTTAAGGTAATTGACGCTGACTGACTACACAGAATTAGAAATACAAACCTGTTTGTATTTAAAAAACACACCAAAAGTGTGTGTCATTCTGAAGTACTGCTTGTTGCTTCTTTCTTCTGTTTAAATGCAAGCCTAATGAATGTTTATACACTTCCTTTTTTCAGTTTTGTTAAAATAGAAGGGTTTATTTGACCTTTGAAAATACATACTTACAAATGGTAGCACAGATTAAATAATTAAAATAACTTGTTGCAGTCGTGTGGGAATTAAGAGCTGTAGAGTAACTTTTTCCAAAGAACTTTTACCTGCTTGCTAAGTACTAGAATTTGAAAAGACAATTTTTGCTTTGAAGTGTAATCATACCATACTTATTCAATTACTTGCTCTGTTTCACTACTTTTTACTGTTGGCTTTAGTTTAAAATATCTTTCATGTAAGTTAAGTTTTCCCCAAGATGATGCAGGTATGGCAGATGTAACTAAAAAACAATCTGAACCCCACAAAGGGAGTCGTGGGGTTATTGTTTTAGAATGGATATTAAAGGTGGAAGAAATCACAATGGATATTCCAAACAGGATCATCTTTTATGGTCACAGACTTGTAATGTTGTGCTTTCTGTGGTGGTAAGGTTTTATAGCATGGCCTGGCTCTTATTGTAAAATTGGTATGGAAAGATCACTAATTCTGTACTTAAGGGAGGGGAATAGTATTTATTGAAGGTATAATGAAGTTATAAATACTTCTTGAAGAGGAAGAACACTTAAAATCTAGTTCCTATTTGGGGGTCATCTGTCCAAATCCTGGTTTCAGGACGTTAGAGGTTTGTCAAAGCTGTAGATCCACTGCATCATCCTTTAGCAGCCCTGGTTTCTACACTGATAGCATTTAGTTGTTGTATGATATGTAGTTGTTGTGCTTGTCCTTCTACAGTCACCTCCCTCAAAATCTTAGAATCTTAGTCTTGGAGGAAAAAGCACTGCTTTTTAACTTAACAGAAACCTGTGAGGTTTAACTGACATTTTGAATTGTTACTTCTTTAATTGATACTAGCATATGGTTTGAAAAATTGCACAACAAATCAGGTGTCATCCTGAAGTAATAACTATTAACATCTTTAGTGAAACTGAAATAGTAAATGCATGCTGCTAAATGGAAGTATTCCCCTTAATTATGGCCTAGCTGTAATGGGCCAATTATAAAATATATGCAAACTATCATATGATGAAAAATGAGTTTTTAAAAAATTCATACTTGCATATTTACAATTTTTTTTAGTCTCTGAACTTTGCATAATTATAATGTCTTCATTATAATGGCATCTTAAAGAGACTTCCAGTCAAGCCTTTTCACTCTGTAGTCTGTGTGCCTACAGCCCATCTCTCCATGGGAATGGGAGGAGGAAAGCATGTGCTGTTACTACCAGTCCTCCATCCACATCTGATGCAGCATGTCCTGTAGGGGTGTGGATTTAGACTGTGTAGTCCTTATAGAAAACCTCATAGTGCCCACTGTTCTATTGCAGATGGATGATCTGCTGAATGAGATCAGGCAGCTCAAAGATGAACTGAAGAAAAAGGATGAAACAATCAGCCAATTAGAGCATCAGCTTGTAAGTATAATGCTAAAAGTTTAGCCAAATCCCAAGAGTGCACTGCAGAGTGGAACAGGCAATTCTGGTGAAGGCTTTAAGGCAGCTTGGCGGCTAATTTTTTTCCTGCACTTTCATTATAACAAAGGAAGGTTTGGGTTCTGCTGGGACCCACCTGGCTTTTGGGTCTGTAGAGGTTCATTTACAGCAAACTGATTCTACGTGTCCCAGTGTGTTTGCAGTTGTGCTCCTGAAATCTTTAATTCTGTAGACTAATCATGATTTGTATGTGTGGCACTAAGCAAGGATGTTTATACCACTGTTGAAAGTATTTAATTTCCAAAACTGTTTTGACCATAAAGTTCTAGAAGCTGCTAAAAACTGACAGTGGGCAAAGACAAGGCTATGTTTAAAGTGTTTTAAAAATTAACAAGCATTGGGCTTACCATTCTTGAAACTGTTGTTGGTGGGTTTTTTTTATCCCTCTCTGTTCCTCTACTATCTCTTGGTATAATAGAGAATTACACCATAGAATTGAAAGCTGAGCAAGTTAGTATCCAAAGTTGATTCTTTTTTTTTTTTGAAAAAGCAATAAAAAGCATGTTGAATAGTCAGATTAAATTGACCAAGTAATGACAAATTATGGGGACACTTTCATAATAAATTAGGTTCAGGAAGGCACGAGTCCTCAAGCAAAAGTCACATGTGCCTTTTACCTCTTCACTCGTGTTCTGAGTTTGGATTTTGCCATGTGTATCTCTGCATTTGGTTCTGGTAAATTCACCTGCTGTGACAATTCTTGTAAAATAGCCCCACATGTTCAAGCCATTTCAAACCACAGCAAGATCTTACAGGTAGGGTAGATGAGATGCCAAGAGGTTCACATCATATTTATTTATCGTAGTTGGAGGTGATAAACTCTAATGAAATGTCTAGCATGTGCTTTTGTACATAAGTGCACTGGAGCTGACCTGTGGTCTTCCTCTCCCTGTCTCGTTTTGATCATTCCCTCTGAAACAAAAATGAAAGGTTTAAGATTGGGGTTTCTTCTCTGCTGTTTAAACAACAGAATCCCAGATCACTTTTTCCAAAAGTCAACATTTATTCTGGATTACTTGTAAATACACTTTGGGAAAAGCAGCAGTTGTGCAGCACTGTAAAGAGTATTTCTACAGTTTAATCATATTGTGCTCTACAGTCACTTAATGCATGATGTTTGAACACTGGGCCTTGACTGTACTTTTCAAGAGGCTTAGTTGGTTAATCTCTAACTGATTCTTGTTCCTTTTTCTCTCTTTGGGGGTGATGAAGGCCACTAGATGTAACTGCCAGAAGGACAGTCAAAAACCCGCAGGGGCATCGCACATGCACGCCGATAAATTCACGCAAACGTCGTGGAGGAGGAGTTCTGTGAGTACTCTGTGCCCTTCCTTCCTGGTTCCCACCACCTGCAGTTCATTCCCCACTTCTAGTACTTTTGCTGCCACACAAGTTGGCCTTCTTTAAGAGATTCTGTGCTGTATGTGGGAGTAGTATCCTTCCTGCAGTGCATCCCTCGCATTCTTTTGCGGCCCTTTTATTTAAACATTTGTTACGAACATTTCTCTTAAATTGAGTAATTAAATTTTAGAAGTCGTCTCTTTAAATAATCACCCTTTGTGCTATTTAAGTTACAGTCAGTCCAAGCTGTGTATCTAGTCATACTTAAAGTATTTTCTTATATCCTGACTTTAAAGTCATAGATATATCTTTGGGTTTTTTCCTGATCAGATTTTCATTGTTGACATTCTCATATTTGTTGCAGAAAAGCAACTAGGTTTCATTGCATAGACGTAAAAGCAAAAGTTAATATTGTTTAATATTTCTTTTTATTATTTTGATAATTTATTTTAATAATTTGACTTATTAAAAAGATTATTGGGTGAAAATCACTTTGACAAAAGACATCTTCATTCCCATATGTTGTTGCATGATTCACATTTGCTTCCATTATATAAAACTTATATTCTTCATGGAACACTAATAGAACACTTAAGATGGGGAGGGACAACATATTTTGATATTATGTAATAATAGGACATTACCTTTGAATCTAAAACAAGGCTTTTGTCAGTCACCAGCAAATAGCATTTGGATCTTGAAGCTACTGCTCTAGCTAGAAAACCCATGAGATTTTATTAAAAGGCTAAAATGAGTTTGATTTTTTTGTTTCTTAGTTTTTACCGTACTTTGAGTTACTTGATTTAAGATTGTAGTGAAGACAAATCACCTCTGCTATTCTTCTAAAATTACTCTTTTAAATATATAGTGCTAGGGTAGAAATACCACCACACTTTATGTTCAGCGTGTGCTGGCAAACAGCTTTATCCAAGCTTTCCAATCTCCTCCTGTCTGATAAGAACCCAATGTAAAAAAATCATAACCTTAAGTAGCTTTTAGTTTGCTTTGACACCTCTGCTCCAGAATGTACATGTCATGTCTTTGTTTACCCCATTTGTTTCTTTTACTTTGGAGCTTTTGAACTCATGCATTGTTTCTTTTTCCTATGATTTAATTTCATGTGTGTGATGTTCATGTCATGTTTTTGTGCACTGATACTGTTATAGTGGCTATTGTTTTCATGTTCCCGTTTTTCTATCTCATTTTTCACATGAATTCAGAAACAGATTAGTAATCATAGAAAGTTAGTTGCTGACTACACAAATTTTAGTTTGAGCAACTTGTGGTATTAATTGAGAAGACAAAAATACTGGAGAAGATGTGGGATTTGAGTTGCTGTCTCAAGCAGAAGGAGTCACTCAGCACAATTGTTTGTTTTGGTCAGGTTGGTCAGTATATTTCTTTTGAGCTATTTAGTAGTTTTGTTCAAAAAGACACGTTTTTTTGTCAGGAGCAGGTTTGGGTTAAGGGACAGTATCTTTAAAAAAATAAAAACTACTGTGTTTATGGTTATGTGTGTGGATATATATCATGATACACATATGTAGTTGTGGGCCTATGATCATTAGATGCACATTCTAAACATCTTGGTACTTTTATCTACGTGCAAAATTTCTCATGAAGTTGATAAAGAACTTAGGAAAATTCAAGTAGGAAGTATGTACAAATTTCAAAATACACTGCTTCTCAGGAGCTTTTATTTGTAAGTGATACCTGGAAAGTTTTGGGCAGAATGTGTTGGGTGTGTTTTGAGGTTTTTTTTCAATGTCTTCACTGGCATGTTTGTAAGTCACAGGGTTTCTGTAAGCCAGTAGAAACTGGTGGGAGCTCCTTAAAGTTGGATTTCTTCAAGGAGGACCATAGTTTGTTGTAGCCAAGTTTTGGTTCTGATGACCAGACCTCAACTGTCTGGGTTAATGCTTCCTCTACTAACATGCATTTGGATGCTTCCTTGCATGGCTTAATAGAAGTATAAATGTATGGAACCAGTTTTGATCTAGAACCCAATGTCAGAAAATGTCTTTTGTAATGGAAAGGAGACACAATCAGCTCTTACTTTCTTGAGGTAAGAGTACAATAAATAGAAACAAGGAGACACCTGAGTAAAATGTATTCTCACTAGTAAAAAAAAACCTAAAAACGCTCTTAAAGAAGTTGTTTTGCTTTATTAGCATTCCTGTTCAGTTTATTTTAATGGTCTTGACTTAGGAGTATAAGGTTTATTGGTCCTAAATGTGCTATAAATCACAAAACATTCTTAATGTTTATGAAATTATGAAGATTTATAGAGACTATTTTTTTTTTAAAACCAAATTGTAATTGAAGTCTTGGCAATGGGAGAATAGCTCCTTTGAGGCATATAAGCTTTTTGCTTCTTTAAGTTTAGTAATAGTTTTCACTGTTGATGAATATTTAACTGTTTTATTTTTTCCTATTAGTATTGACCTGCCAGTCACTTTAAATGATTGTGGATATCAAGGAGTTACTTCAACTCATTTATCAAAACTTTCAAGATTAATGTGGCAGTTTATAAATTCTTTGTATTCAATATATGCTATACAAATCAGAACTGATACAACGTGTTTATTCCTGAAGTGTAAATAGCAGTCTGGGATCACAGTAGTTTAACATTTCAAGGAATACTTTAAATGCTTACTGAATAGTGTTATATAATGAATAGATGCTAGAATAAACTAGGAAACAGTGAGAGTGGAAATCAGCTGTTATAAGACTTCAGTTAGGAATTTAAGGCCATATGAGTTGCAGCAATTTTTTGCTATTCAGCTGGCCATTTGAAATCACTAATTTTTCTGCTCACTTCATGGTTCTGCCAGTAAACAGGCAAGTGAATATCATTAAACATACTCTTTTTAAAAAGTCATGTTTGTATCTGTTTCTTTGCTACCAGACATTTCTAGAAAATGGCCTGTTCTGATGTGATGCTCAACTTTGTCTTGTGGTTTTCTCTTTAGGGACCAGAGATTTTTAAACTACTTTTAGGGTTTTTTTTTTTAGTATTTAAACTTAAATATGTACATAAATGGAAGCTACGTAACTTCAGATTAATCTTTGGAACTTAGTGCTCATGTAGTAAAACCTAGTGGCTGAAAAAGAATGTGTTGGAAATTGAGCATCTTACAAATAAATAGGTAGCTACCTATTGCCCAGCTGCTGTGTCTGTGACATGGCATTTCTTGTAAGCAGTGTCCTGAAAGGATGCTCAAAACTTAGGTAAATTTTAACTGTGTATTAGTTTTGGTTAACTATTCTCTGGATAAAGGCTTTTACAAGTATTCACTGACAGAGGAGACCATGACATTCCTAAAAGGATTTCTTACAGATCTCTTATACAGAATTCATTGCAATTAGTTTATGTCTATCATTTAATTATCATGGAAGAAACTAACTGAAACCTGGAAGAAGATAAAAAAACCTGAAGAAATTAATGTTCATGGACAGCTTGCAAGGAAGAAGTAGTGAGCATCCATTGCCACAATTGTCTTGCAGGCTTTGCAGCATTGTTTCTGTAGTACTAAATACAGGTATTTACTTTGAGAGTAAAGGAGTTAGATGTCCAGTTTTTGCTGATAAATGATTTCGCTTCTTGAACTGAAAAGGCTGTTTGCAGATGCTGAGAAATAAAAGACAAGCAAGCAAATTACAAAGCCCTGAATCTGGTTGAAGATACCTGAAGATACCTGCAAAGGATTCTGACCCCTGGGGTCCAGTTCCTTAGCATAACACAACTAGTTCATGTTTGCTTTTCCATTCCCTGTACACAGTGTGTGCAGGAAAAGCTGGATATTTCCCCCTGCTATCAGAGCAGCTCACAGTGATGAGAATAACCTTTGCTTCCCAAATGTGGGTACAAGTTCATTCTTGTCTCTGGTGAAATGCCAACAGAACCTGTCAGTGTTCATGGGAACATGCATGTTCTTGTTCTTTGCTACATCTTTTTTCTCCTTTTGCCCTGAGATATTCTTTGCCTTCCATTTGAATTTTGTTACAGTTTATAATTCCAAAGCCTTTCCTGTCAATTGTTTTGATGAACCTTTGTAATACCTTGGCTGTCTTTGTGTACTTTTGTCTTTTAGGTCTTATTACCTCCTTCCGTCTTAGCCTTAAGCCTCCTGTATGTGTCAACTCCCCAACTATGAATTTAAACTTCCAGGTTTTGAAGCCTAGTGTCTATATATTAGTGTTCATCTTCACATCCAGCCTCGGTTGCTCTCATTGTCCAGTACTCTGCTGTTTGCTTGATGGTCCATTCTTACACACCTTCTTGGTGAGATGGAGCCATAGCTCACACTAGGTGGTCATGTTGTGCACCTGTGTCTTGTGCTGTGGCTGTGCATGACAGGCACATCCACAGAAGAGAGGTCCCTTGAACCCTTCACAAGCAATTCTTGTTGGTTTAGTGTAAACCAGCACATAAGACTGGGTTGGGAGTTTTTTGTTTGTTTGTTTTTTATCTGAATATATTCAAAAAGACTACTGCTCATTCATAATCTCTTTCTGGGTGCTAGGCTAGCAAGAGGAGTCTGCTGCAAAAATATTTTGTCTGCACTGACATTGAAGTGTGTCACTCTAGGTTTGTTCATGATGTGGAGCTCTGAATTTGTATGACACAGCTGGCAGTGCTAGGTGAGACGCAGCCAAAATCATCTCTTCTTTAAAGTTCTCAAAGGCTCCAGTTGTATGGATAAAAATGGATCTTTGTGTTTCTGCAGCAAAAAAAACAAAACTGTTTAAAGCAGTTGCAGTTTAGGATGTTGGGGAAAGCAGTAGCAGTTTAGGATGTTGGGGTATCCTTGGGAAAAGAGCTGGAATATTTGGCTGTTGGGCTAAAATTACTGTGCAGCAATAGCTTAGAAATATTTCTCTTTTCCTTTTCTGCTAGGAACAATTGCTTTTGTTCATGTGATTGCTTGTTCTAAGGTTGAGGTTTGTTCATAGCAATGGAAAACTCT